AGTGAATTCATTTTAACATTAGCTTATTTAATTCCACTTAATTCTTGGAAACAGAAATAGAAAACAAAATATTTTTTAGAATGACAGAAGATTAAAAGTTTATCAAATCATACTAGAGAGTAGTGAACGCATGTGTCTGTTAGTCAGTATCCATTGTTTACCTTTCAGTACTAAATACTGAGAAGTACTTGTGTTTCATTAGTACAACACCTGAGAATACAAATCAATACTAGATGAGAAAACAAGTAGAGAAAAACATAGACAATAAAAGTATCCAAATTTCATTAGAATACTACTAAAAGTTGTTATATAGCTCCAGTAGGTGGTAAGTTCCTCTGAAAATGTTTCCAAATCTTTTCAGTACTCCACTAATAAGTGTTTAGAAATAGACTTCATAACCCTATATTCCTAAGAAGAAATACTAGTAGATGATAAGGGAAGATCAAACAAAATTGTCTTACTATGCCTATATAACTTAAGTTGTTTAAATTCATCAAAACAGACATTTGTTATAGAATTGCTGTACGACAACTTTTTAAATTCTAATATTATCTTTCTACCGACTGAATACTAAGAAAAGAATACTTCAGTTGCATGTACATTGTGTTTTAGTTTTATTATCAGCACAGTATATGAAGGAGGCGCTTGAGTATGATTTTCGTGAAAAAATAAAGTGAATTTGCTTAGTATTTGGAGTAGAAACACAATCAAAGTAGATACTAAGGAGTGGATAACACTGATCTTTTAAGCAATATAGTCATTTGACTGAAATAACTAACACACTTTCAGTTTTCGTTAGTTAGTGTTTCAGATCTAACATCTAAACAGAGGAAATGAAAACATCGACAAAATGAGTCGCAGCCCGACATGTTATAATAATACAACTTATCAAGCCTACACTGGTCTCATGTGTAGTGTTATGATGAGCATCTGAGGTATTTATGAAGTTGATGATATTACTTAGGTAATTGTGCGAGTATGTGTGACATTTTTTGAATTCAAAATCTCATGTAAGTAGTACAAAGAAATTCAATAAAACACCCGAGCTATTTTACCTTCGGAAATCGACTCCTGATGATATTAATTTAGTGTTATTTCTAGTGAATTCAGCTATTTCACTGAGATAGGAAGAGAAAATGGGAAGTCAAGTAAGTCATTTTAGAAACAAAGCCGGTTAGATTATTACTATTGGCTGTGTACCAGAAAAAGTCATCATGTTAAGCTTACACTAATATTCTTGAGCATATGCTCACTGTACAACTGGATTGTAAGCCAAAAAATGTGATGGATGAGTGTGAACATCATTTTCACGGTAAGGATATATTACATGACTATCAAAAAGCTGTTGATCAGTCTGTTTCTTAGTAAAATTCATTTAATGGATAAAAGTCTAATACTTTCTAGTTGTAAATGTAAAGCTTCCTTTAAATTAACGTAACCAGAATTCAAGTGTTTGTTAGCAACACTGCACATGACATGAGAAACACACAAAACTGTTGTAAATAATTTCAAGTCAACTGAGAATAATTGACTGAAATAGAAGACATTATCGATTCATGTTTTAGTAATAATCATATTATTGATTCAAGCGACATTTATCTGTTTTACTTCATTCATATAGTGGTCAATACGGCGATTAAAAGTGAAGGCTTGTTTTGAATAATCATAAATACCAGGTGAAAAGATTAATTAAGTTGTTTTTAGAAGAATTTAATGCTGTTAGACTATGATTCAACTAACAATACTTGAAAAGTTTGGTGTGAAAGTTAAACTTTTGTCACTGTGACTTTTAACTTTAAACTGATTATTTGCCTGAGATAAACTGACAGTCTACATTGGCATGCAGGTTCGTTCTACGAACTCTACGGTGTGATCTGAAATGACATCCTAGTTAAAAATCTGCTGTTCACCAGCAAATATATTTCTTTTCAAATTCGCTTCTTATTTTGTAAATTTGACTTCTTAATGAGGCATGACACAGACATTATATAACGAATAATTGATAGTCTGCCGCATGTAGTTACATAACTTTGTTGCAGTTCATGCATATCACATGACAACAATTATGGTTATCTCAATGATTGACTTAGATATAAACAACCAATCACAACTTGGTGAATACGGTTATTTGAAAATTCACTTGATGCCTTGTATTAGTGATATAAAGATTGAATACGAAAAGATGAATTGCAAAATGATAAACTTCATTTCTCCTAAAGCATTAACAAACAAATAATCGAAGTTAAGGGATTTTATCATGAACTGACATTAGTTAGAGAACCATTGGAAAACCTAGGAGTACTGGACATCTGTTTCGTCCTAGTTTGGGACTCTTCGGCAGTACGCACCCACTGGGATTAGAACCCAGGACAGGATTAGAAGTGATGGACTGAAATAATATGAATTCGCGGATAAGCCTTCAACTTACTTTAAATTCAGCAACTCAGATACCATAGTAATCAGGATTGGATTCATTTCTCTCTAATCTAAGAAGTCAATTAACTGTCAGTCAATGGGTGGCATCTTTGAACTCCTCTGTACTTGAGAAAACTTCAGCATTCGGATCCCAACACTATCTATCCCTCACGCCGTAGATATAAACCAATGATTAGTGTGTGCACTAGAATATGACTGCTGATTATTGCTGTCACCATAATTTCGGTAAAATATGGCCACACTATACTACTTTCTTTGGATTATACTAATTTGTAACTCATATAAGTTGATTATTAAATATAATTAGTGATGACTGCAGTTTGTTTTGCGTTTGTATCAATGCGCAACAATCTGAACCCTACTCATAAGCCAGTGATTTACACCGACATTCTCATAAGTAACATAATAGCTCCGTGTTTACAATGAAAAGTTGTTAGAATTTTAAAGATTTTCCCTAGAAATACGCTGACTTTATTACGTTTATTCTTCTTTGGACATTTTTAAATGAAGATATTGGACAATAACATTACAGGCAAACCAGTGGTCCACATGTCTTTCAAACTTGTGTACATATAAAGGGAATGAATTCCCACAAAGGTAAGACAGTGAGGAGTCCAAATAAATCAGTTATTAGTTAAAACGGTGCATTCGTTTTCATTAAAGTCATTCTGTTGAGATTACAAACAAACATTTCACGACCGCAAAGTATAAGAAAAGTGACAACTATTACATGATAAATGTAATTTACTTAGCGGGTAATACTCTTGATAGTCATGCATACGCGGAAGTTTTGGGTAAACATCTTTCGTCTTTTCATTCTCTATACTGGCTTTCAAAATTCGAAACACTCCTGACCAGCTGAGCAGACGGCGACGTCACTGTCGAATTCTGTGCAGGATACATTGCAAGAGTATGGGAGGATTCCTGTTTGTCTGAAAATAAGACGTTATACAATTCTGTTCAAGTTAGATAATTCCACTAATCAATCCATCCATCACCATTTATATTGTAATCACTGTGAACCCACCGAAGAAAACAGATCTCAGTACCAACAAACAATTCAATAAAGACGCTGATTACTCCAGTATTTTATACATAAGCTGACTAGTGTGGTTGATTATTTCACTTTCAATTTTTATCAATTTAGCTTCGTAATACTTTTAACTTATGTCACGGAATCTTAGTGCTTTATATATGTTAATACTAGACATTGCAACTTCATTTCATCGCTACACTATTCCTCGTTTTTGTTATTCACCAAGTTACGTTACGACTGAGCGGGGGGGCGGCGGTGGTTGTCCTCCTGTTCTGATGGAAATGTAAATAATCACATAAGTTCATAAGAAATACTATCAAAGATCTAACAAGTAATGTTGACTAATGAAATAAAAGCTTGCAACCAGTTCCTTTTCGTCCCAAGCTTGTCCAAACAATTAAATCAAACTCTTTACGATAAGCTTGTATTGTGGAGTAACTATTCAAGCCAAGCACTGCAAAAGATGGTTAGCGTATTACACATTAAGTGAATGAGTAAGAATATGGACAAAGATGAACGTTCATTGGAAAATTATCAGCAAGGCCTGTCTTCCTGAAAACGAAAGCTTCATCATTAAATACCTTAAACGGTGGAACATTAAGTAGGAGCTAGAATAGACAAAATAGCAAAATATCACTGGACTTGAGATACAACGCTCTAAGTAACATGAAAGCACAGAATGAATACGGATTCACAACCACGATTAGCTCAGATATATAACAATACAATTGCTGAATATCGCTCTTAGTTCGCTCATCAAACTCAACAGTCCACACAGAAAGCGTCTGACATCTAGCACTTAGATTGACATCTATCGCTTTATTCAAACCTGTATGACTATAGTACGTTATCGTGAGATAGACTTCTAATAAGAATGCAAATCCGCGTTACTTCAACCAGTGGCTGTTTTCTTTTCCATAAGACTCCACTTCTCAGCTTCACAGGTAGCTAGCAGCAAGCCTAGTAAGCCCGATTCCGCGCCAGTTCTTGCATGAACCTATATTGTCCTTCTTTGGCAGTTTGATAGAGTAGCCTGTATTTTTGCGCTATCTTTTACAGATCAAAGGTATGAGTAGGATAAAACAGCTATGAACAGTGCAACAAGGAAGTAGCGGTAACAGTGAAGGATATGAGCAGAGAAACAGAGTAGTCAGTCAGAAAGGTTCAATTTAGTTATCTATGGTGATATGATGAATATAACTTACAAAGTTAACATGGAGCTGACGAACGCATTAAGATACTGAGAGAACCGATAACTGATACTTAAATGAAATGACTGTTTCATCTCGAAGGGATATGGTTGCTGAAAATAATTCATACAAGTGGATGCTCATGAACCACGTTTAAGGAGGAAAAGACAGTAGGAAACTGTTTTCAGAAGGACTATTTACAAAATACATGACTTATGTATAACTGATCGCATAAATACTAACTTGTTTCATATTGTGGTAAATGTTAACACAGATCAAGGTGAAAAATAACTTATTTATCTGACCAGGAATTTCACAAATAAACGAACTAGACTTACTGGCAGAAGAATATTGAGCGAAAAAGGCTACATACTCTAGGAAAACACTTTTATTTGATAACACAACTAGGGCGGAACAAAGCAATCATAGTTGTACAGTAGTATAACACAGGAAAAAACATTGGAAATCATCAAAATTTAGGCAGGTAGTCTTAAGCCGCGTCCTTTCATAACTGTAATTTAAGAAAAAACACCAAAATTAATTACACCCTTTAAATGCTATAGTTATGATTAACAAATATATTTCAATATGAATTTTACCAGTCCTCTCCGACATATCTGTTCACAACTAGAAACAGACAGGTTTTTTCAAACAGCTCTGTGTACTATCCGACGACTAATCAGACTGAAATATTTTCATGCCCTTTCCTTATAAGACCACATATCAGCAAAAAGACAATACACTGGAGCCTGAAAGTCTACGAATATGTCTTCTGTGGTATACCTCATTGATATAACACAATTACGATTACAAGGTTGTTCATAAATACCTGGATATCTGCCAGAGGCATTGCGGTGGAGTCCAAATAGCACGGGGTTACTATGTGACTTTATTAGTGTTACAGCAGGATTTCATGACGTTAGGAAAGATAGCATTACGAAACATTTAGATACTTAACTGAATAGCACAGAAAGCTTAAAAACTATGGTATAATGAACTTTTGTGTTTGTTGCAACCTCTTTTTGATGGATTAGTATTCGATTGGTACGGTAGACCCCACAATAATAACCATAACAGGTATTTTTATTTTTTTATTTTTGATTTACAGCTTGATTCCACACTGTATTTTTGGTACAAGTATGGAATTTTCAGCGTGGATATCGGTAGCCCAAATTTTGCAGGCCGACCATAGATATCAGGTGTGAGTCGGCGGAGGCTCGAACCTCGGACCATGTGCATGGTCGGTGAGAGTCCTAACCACTGTGCCACCGACGCACAGTAGTATAGTAGGTGCATATTAGAGACAGTGAATACCTCCCGATGACGTATTTGATCACCTTGAGGTGTAGCATGCAACCTTATAAAGCTAACAATAGAAAAATTTCAGCGACGACGGACGTGCATGTCTAAGAAATAATAATCAACATTACTTGTGTGGAGACATACCAAACTATACAGTCGCCCAAAAAGCAGCCATAAAAGTGGAATAAAAACTTTAGACTAACGGATGTTTATATTAGTGAACCACAGTTAAACAAGCAGTGAATTATAAAGTATAAGATGTTACTTTCCCTACTAAATCACACCTGTCATATAAAAACCGGTAATAGCGTACTCACCTTTTGTTACATACAAGTAGAAGAAATCACAGTATAGCAATGTCTGTACTATGCCAGCAATAACAGCGACATAATCAAGAAAATCATCATAATAGTAACGATACACCCAATTGAGCAGATATAACGCACGGTAAGATCCCAATGCGAATAAGTAATGTGAAGTAATCGTCTCCGCTTCACCTGTCTTACTAATCATGAATAGTTGAGGCATTATAGCAACCGATTCCAGATAAATTGAGAATGCCCACAGTATCTATGATCAGTCAAAATAGGAAGAACAAGGAACGAATTCCTAATAACAAGAAGTAAAAGTAAGAAATATTTGAAGACATTTTGCTTCTATAAGAAAATGAAACTCGATGAAGACGTGGAAATTATTATCTCTGACTTAATTCTTTTCGGGTTACAGATTTTAATTGTGATCACTGATTCCCTTCATGAATCATAATATTCAGAAAAGGATTTGAAGATGAGAAGTGAATCCATTCCAGTAGTTTGCTATGTAGTAATAACTTATTATAATAATAAGAATCGTCGGTAGCTTCGTTATTCTATGAGTTTAAATATTCCTGAGCAAAAGTTACAATGTATGACATACATGGAAGAAACAGTTATCTCAGGTACGGCAGTGAACACACCATCTACACCGATACAAGGAAATTTTCGAGGGATAGTGAATTTTGAAAAGTAGGAAAACTGTCAGATGGTGTAGACAAAGTTATTAACATTTACAAGTATATCAAAACTATTCACTCACTTCTAACAGATTCAAGGTATTGAATGAAACATACACAAAAAGTTTAACTTTTTGAGAGAATGAAATGACTAACTCAGCTTCAACACAAAACTTTTGACAAAAGTGCATCAGTTCAAGTTGCCACGCTTCATATAGCACATAAAGGTAGTCAAAAGAGAGAAGAAAACTCGAGGAACTATAATAAGCAGAGATTTGAGGGGGAAGGTATAGTAACACTTGAAAACGAGACGTTTTATTGGATGTAGAAGATCCCAAAGAGTAAATGCGTCTTCACCACTTATTACGACTTTGAGTTATAGCACCAAAAGTTTCACCCCAACCAGGAAGTTTACAGCTTTATAAGTGGCTAAAATTAACTGTCAAAGACTTCGTGGGTAAATTCAGGTTACGATGTGACCACCGCTAACTCTTTTCCAGCCTGATCCTATGTCAGTTAGCATTGTTCGTCGACAAACGTGATGGTCAAACATGCGTAGCACGTAACAGTCTACTCCTAAAATCGATATTACCCTATTATACAGCTTAACATCTGTGGCCTAACACAGCTAGTCTCTTTACGTTTTCTAATTTCAATCGCTATGTCTCATAATCACAAAGAAACACAGATCAAACTTCTACGCAGTACAAACGCCCTTTGATTGATAGTTGGATATCACGTCTACATCAAAGATGACGTAAGTTGCTGAATGACAAACGAACCTTTTGTATCCATGCTGAGATTTTGTTAGAAATCAGTCCGTTGGGGCTGATGTAACTTCGCAAATACGTGAAGTGGTCAACAAACTCTACCAATTTACTCCCCATCTTTAAGCTGGGAGACGCTGAAGTCCACTTCTGCAGAATCATCTTGCACTTGGCAGAAACGAATCGCGTGCCAAATATTCGAAGATTTCTGCTCAGTGTGTTTTCACCTGGCAGGACAGTATTATGTGCATAATTTGCACCAACAAGACTGTTTCTTGGTAACAAGTCAATCCTTAAACCACCAAAGTCAATTAGAATCAATTTCATTTGTGCATCTATAGTTTAATTATACAAAAATGGGGACAGCGGGTATCCCTGACTTCCGCCATTTGTCATCACTTCAGATGACGACTCTCTGTAAGCTACTAAAGGCCTACATGAGTTCGAGCAGTGTCTTGATTAATGCGATATACTTGCTCAACACTTCCTTCGCGGCCAAACACTTTCACAGCGATTAAAATTATATAGTTTACATAAGATTACCGCCTTCAGCAACAAAAAAGTGCGCAATATAATGAACAAATCAATGCTTTGTTTATACATTAAGTAGTACAGCAACTATCGGAAGCGTGGGATTTATGTGTGATACAAGTGAGATTTAATCAAACTAAGAAATGAGACATCCTCCACTCGTTGATTATCTATGATGTACACAACCAATGGTAGAATTATTGGTATTATTCGGGTATAATGTGGAAATCGCTGACTGGAAAACTTAAACGAAATTGATCAGAACATTAACGAATGAAGAATAGACACGGACTATTTATTTCATCCAGAGAACTCAGCGTATCATCAAACACGTATATACCATGCATCAAAATTTTACCTCCACTTTTCTTTTTTATTCTACCTTATCGCTATCGCTTTTGCTGCCTTTCCTCCATGTCTTGAGTGCAGAACAACATTGAAAGATGCATTATCGTATAAGTGTGCACAAGTGAAGTTAGTTCAAAATGTAATTGATTACATAGAGAGAACAAGAAAAGAACAGGAAAAATAGACAACCAAATTCTCACCTCTGTCAAAGAAAACTCGTAATTTGCAAACAATCCCAAGAGCAAACTAGGCACCAACAATAAGTACACAGCGAAAGTGTCATGATTTGAATCGTATGTAGCTTTAAATTTGAAGTACATCAGGTAAACAGTTGCACAGGAACAAGAGATGAAGAAGATCTTCATAATCATGTTATAGATTGAGATAAAAGTGTACAATAGATCTAGATAACGAGTGATAAAAACAATAGCGAAGAGGAGTTGTGATTTTCCCGAGAGACCTGTTAAGAGAGATGGGAATAATACAAAAGATATATATTAGGTACATCGATATACATTAATACGTGGAAATAGTTGTTAGAAACCTAAGAATAAATCTGAACCAAAAAGATATCGTTATTATAACTAAATGCGAGTTAAAACAACTGAAGTTTGATTTGCCAAAACGAATTAAGTACTCATAATTGTTCCATAATGCATACACCCAACACATACAAAGTTAAGAGAACAGGTTGCAGGAAAAAAATACTTCATCATTAGTTTACAGAACTACTGAGTATTTTCAGACTATAATGCTTCAAATAGTATGGTTAATTTCTAAAGTTTCTAGCATTACCATGGGACGAATCACTAATTAAAAATTGAATTTTAACTGCAGTGTTCAGCAACAGAAAGTTCAATTTAGATTTCTCACGAAAACACAATAGAGAATAACCTCTACAATTAAATGCGATAAAAGCCCAGAAAAATCACTTATTTTCGAATTAACGGCAATGGAGAGGGGGTAATTTACGACGCGTCACTTATTTTGACACTTACAGTTGTATATGCTTCTTTGATATTGACGAAAATAAACAAAGAAGCTTTCACTTAGTTGTCGCTCTATAAAGGAACATAATTTGTAATTTTGTCTGCCACAGATTTCCGCCGAATAGCGCTAGTCACCTCTGAGGCTGTTTTTGGTTTATCAGGAAAAATGTGCACTTCGTGGATAGATTACATGAACGATATACCTTAGTAACCAGACTTGGTTAAAACGCCCCTTTCCGCAGGAGAGCCTTATTTGCTTAGAGCGATAAAAACATTAATCTGCGGTGAATCATGCTAAACTGAACATTTGAGTGAAAACCATCAACAGACATGGTAATTAGTACTTCTGATTATTCTAAAATCAACACAACTTTCTAAACACATCGAATACATACAGAAACTGCTAATCCAGTGAAGAAGACATAAAATACGTGGAAGTTATCAAGTTAAGAATAATCTATACGGACAAGAAAGTGGTTAGAACGAAGAGCCAACTAATCCAAGATGTCCTGTTTAGTTACTCCATTACCTGTTTCACTTTTCAGCGACACTATGAGTGTCATGTGCATCTTTTGAATTATATGCTTGACATAGAGAAAAAAGTAGGGAAGAGCTCAGGGTCAGTTAAATAGCTATGGTAGGGTTCAAAAAGCAGCATAAAACTGGTCTGCTAACTTGATTTATGAAGAAATCTCTGAAAAGTGTAAATGAATCGGAAAAATTTTAAGTTCGGACAATGCTCGTTTTGCAATAATATGGTACTTTTGGTGCTATGAAGCTGCAAAACTCAAAAATATTCATATGAAATACACTTGAAAGCTGTTTCTCAACTGGACTCGCACGTTCCACTAATAGAAACTAATGAATGACAATCCACAGAACTACTGAAATTAGTCCATTTATCAAGATACCAGTTGACTAAGAAACGCGGAAAAAAGCCGTTGAAGAGCAATTCAACCTTTACTTTTAAGGAAGTCTGTTAGAACACTTGCGAATCGGCAAGAAGGACCCATCAGATCCATGGCAACCAAAAGGATGAATCTCAGGTTGTCATACTGATTAAAGAAAGCAGGATGAAAAACCACGACGCTCAGCTGGGGAACAATGCACATAATCATAATTACGACCGGTGAATACTCCTGAGTGAAAACTCTCGTCTAGATTGAAACAAAGACGAAATATGGAGATCGAGTTTACGCGTTGTTACTTTGTAAGTCTAGAACACTAACGCTGACGACTAGGAGATGATGTAGACACTGCAGAAGAAAGATAATTAATGACAAGCAACTAAACCAAAAGATGTGATAAATGAAAGTTTAGAAAGAAAATATTCACTTCCAAGAGTGGCGTTGGGCAACAAAGAACAGTTTCTTGGGTTCAGCATTTATTTGTACGTAACATCTCTCTGGACAGTGATCTCAGACTCAAACAGCTGGTTTGAGACACTTTCATATGTGCTTCGAAAATGAAACTAGTGGCAACAGCATTCTAGTTCCCCCATCCTTTGTTTTAATGGTAAAAGCGGTAGGATTAACAAATGGCTTGGTGGTGTTATAACTCGAATATAGTTATATATATACTTCAGTTAGAACTCGGTTACGCAAAATAGATCCTCCATGTACAAGAGCTTAAGACTCATTTAAGTGTAAGGGCTGATGATAAACCCAGTGGCATGGATTGAAGTGGAAAGAATGGGGTTTAGACGTCAGTGCACACATTTACCTGACTATGCTGAGTAGAGGAGCAATGTTAGATGACATCACATTGGGTTGGAAAAGCGTTAGGATTGGTTAAGCCAAAACCTGACATCAATTCATGAAGCCTTTGACAACTGGTTTGAGCGACATAAGGAGATGTAAGCTAATCGAACGGTTGTTCGGCATCTTTGAGACATTAATATTCAATGACTTAAGACCGCTGGTGATATAGATCAAAGTTTTCTCAGTGGTGCCGATGAATTAACTTTTTATGAACTCTTAGACCCGTCAAGTTCTCATGTAACTGTCTTACCCGTATATTTCCCCTCATTATGATTCCGTTTTTCTTTACTTTAGTGTGCTATATGGTGTGCACTTGAACTACTGCACTTTTGCGCAAAGTAATATGAAACTCAATCAGTCAGACGACTGCAACTAATAGTTAGCCATATGGCTATTGATGCAAGAAGAGTATAGTGTGTAAGCAGAAGTTATCATTTCAGAAGACACTGAAGCCCCTATTTTCTAGGTGAATTTAGACAACTGAAGTATGTCATCAAAGACGACAAAATATTCAACAGAATACTTTGATCAGTTCTTCTGCTCCTATTTGATAGTGAAATCAATAACTATAAAGGCACTGAGTGAGATAACAATGACTACTACTGTTTAGTTGATGAACAGAAAGAAAGTTTTGCTTTTGGTCTGGGAGATTTACAGAGAATGCACTGCAGTTAATACTGACAAAAGATCTAAACAACACAGTCAGTCATAAGGGAAAAGATCGAAGCTTCTATATAATATTGACCGCGGTGCAAATCTATTGAATGAGTTCAAACATAAACTGATAGAACCTGAAGTTCATAAACGAGTTTCTGAATAACTTGCTGAGACAGTATGTATAATTTTCAAAGTTATGTCCTTAAGTATTAGGTGGATTTGGACGTTGGTGCTTCAGTGCAAGAAATAAAGGAAATTCTACTTTCCTTGCTTTTACAGCTATTTAGTAAAATAATTGACAGAATTAATCAAAAGCATCTAATTCAAGATTATGGATTTTCCTATATCCTTTATGAATTCCATTCGTAAAACGTCGACGTCGTAGTGAACCAAATTATCACAGGCAGTCAAAAATAACCTAACATCTACAATATGGTTAAAATGCTACAAGAACTAGCAACGGTATGCGGAAGCTACATATGGGGTTCATTTGAGTATTCAACTGTCAATTACCTTAATATCAATGGAGAAGATTCGCCAGCATCAAAAAATTGTCTAAAAAACACTTACACATTCAGCACAATTCTAACTGGATAAAAACCACGGGTATCATTTTGTTAAATAAGAGTCGGAAGTTTACCACATTCTCATATGTGATTTTTCTGTGCATACTGACATATCAGCATTACATATATGGAATTGTGACTTGTTCCACAAAATTTTATAACACACATTAATGACGTCTTAGTTAGGTTAATCATCAGTCACAAAGATACTTAAACACTTTGTGCGTTGGGACAAATACGACAGCACACTTCAGCTCTGTAGGGCACAACTGGAAGTGTGCAGTATCTTTTCGAATGTGTCATGCACTGTTTACGCCCTTATTAGTGCGAAGTTTTGCTAGGTGCACAAGTAGTAGATAAATTTTCACATGCTATGGGGAATTAAATGGCACCTAGTTGATAACCAGTTGCATGATGCTTAGAAGATACTCTGCACGTCAAAAACGTCACTGTTGTACATATTATTTTGATAAAATCATAGTGTTATACAGTAATATTTACAGATGACGTTTCAGGTACAAATTATTGCTATTAATGATAACAATAATATGTGCGTGGAACGTCAATAGTAAATATAACTGTATAACACTGTATGCATATAGTTTATTTTATTGAAATAAAATGTATCCATAACGGAGTAATAGGCGAATGGTCGAGACTTGCCTGCGCATGACTTTGTCTTCCATATTTTTCTAAGCAGAATTATAAGAGCTACAAGGTGGGAAAAGTCACCTAGCAGACGGAATATGTTCATGCTGTTTTGTGCCGTAATAAACGTAATGAGCGCGTGAGTCGTGTAACTAGTTGAAATGTCAATTTAAATTGATTTTGTTCTTTGGTCGCAAATTTTCTTAAATCTTTATCAGCCCATCCACATGATGCAAGTATTACATGTCGAATTGTATTTAGTATAAATTGGTATCATGAGCTATCTACGCTTGTTATATTCAGATTCAGATAATAAGGAGAGAATGCTCATGTTGCCTATGTTTATCCTTGCGATACATATCTCTGCAGAGATAAAGTTTCCCCCTGAAGGCATTCACCGATGGAGCTGTCACTACTGTATCAAATGAGGAGTTCCAGTCGTTGACCACTGTGTGAGAGAATCTAAATTCCACACGTATTTTTTTCGACCTCAGTTTGAGCACCTTCTTGTGGTGAACTGGTGAATGTATCCTATAGGGAGAGAAAAGGTTTGAAAGGTCAGTCACTAAATCATCCTTTAGTATACGGTAAGCCAAAATCAAGTCACCTCTCCTCCTTCGGTATATTAAAGGGAAGAGATTTAAATGCTACATCATCTTATCATCAAGAAGGTGTGAGATACCACTAATTAATTTCGTTCCTACTCTCTGTACCTTTTCCAGGATGTGTGCCTCCTTTCAACAGATGAAATACTTCTGAAGAGATTGTACAAATCGGCTGACTTCTCGAAGCTCGCTTTTTTGTACAGCTATGTGGGTGGCAGTTTTGAAGATCTATTCACTAACTTGTTATAGCCGTACCGAACGGAATTCGGACAGAAGAGAACCAAAGATAACATTAATAGCATTTCATGAAAAAGTGTATCTTCAGCACTTGAAGGAAGATAACTGAGTGTGTGAGTGCGTCTAAGTTATTTCTCATGTAATCAGTGTTTCTACCCACCAACTGCCTTGGTTTCTTCTCCCTTAGATTCTGTAACAGAACAATGTCTCTTCCAAAGAAGATACAAAACTCTGCCAACCACTGGAACGTGCTGGACCCGGGGAAGACAAATCTTGTGCCGTTCAAATTGCTACGTCACACATTATCACCGAAAAATGAGTGTAATGGCGGTAAAATTACTACAGTGTCACGTGTCAGCTGATTCACAACGAGAAACTCGGTGAGGTGTTCAAAGTGAGTACAGGAGTAAGACAAGCTGTAGGTTTATTATTACACGTGATGATATTACTGATTGTGGTGGACTGGATTATGTGTCAAGCTGTATGTTGTGAGCAAGGAGACAGGAATACGCTAGACCGCCGATAAGAAGACTCTAGAAGATACGGATGTCACGGAGGATTTATGTCTGATCTCACACAAACTCGAAGACTTGCAGGCGAAAAGCAACAAACAGGCTGAAGGAGCAGCCGACGAAAGCAGGAGTGCAGGCGAACATGGAGATGACGGAGGTGGTGAAGATAACCAACCAACCAAGAGCAGAAACAACAACCAGCATCGACCACCATCAACGGGAGACGTTTCACAGAGGAGGTGACTTCCTTCACTTATCTGACTAGGAAGCACAGTTTCGAACGCACATTCGGAACGGAAGATGTCAAATCCAGCCAGCCAAAGTCATCGGAAAATCAGGATTCGCCTATGTAAATGCCTAAGGGTGACCTCTAGACAGGTCTTAATATGAGCACCTACTAAACTTGCCTTCCTCGGTTAACCCTGATCAGTACAACACTTGTGTATGTACTGATGAATGAAGTCAAGGTACAAGTCTTATGCACTGTTGTGTTTCCTGATATGAATTATATTTATATAACCAAAAATTAACATGTAGTAACTAGTCTGGTAACCGGCTGTTTTAGCAAGCCCGAAGAGTGAACCTAATGATAGTACGAAGAGGGAGCGAGCCACGTGCGAGAAGTCACGCCGTTAAAACAGATGGAATAGCACCCTAGTACATGAATGCGTTGAAATAGAAGTTCAAACATTCATGGCGCACTACGCCTTCATCAACCTGAAACCTGTGTGGAAATATTCTCAACTCCGCCTAATCATCACAAACAACAACATTCGGATTTCCAACACAAATATGAAGTCACTTCTTCACTACGAGTCAGAGACTTGGCGAGCGAGTCACGAAAAGGATTTCCAACAGGCCACTGCAGACTTTCATCAACAGTTGCCCACTCTCCTGACTGGCTCCATATTGAAGATCAAATGACTGGGCAGAAAGGATTAGTAGCAAGAAACTCTGGGGACGAATCGATGAAGAGCCGATTGCTCAACAAATATGTAGGAGAAATGGAGATGGATGGGGCATTCGCTGAGGAGACTGTCGAATTGCATTGTGCGTCACGCAACTGCTCGAGTGGAATCCGAATGGGAAGCAACTAGTGGGTCGTCCTAGGGTGACATGGAGGAGATCGTGTGAGGAGGAGATAAGAGAATTTGTGCAATCGTTGACCCATGTGTGGAGGATGGCAGGCAGCAGAAGAAATTGGATACGAGTTGTCGGGGCCTTTTTTTCCACTTGGGACTCATTGAATATATAATGATAGTAGTCCGTTTTGTTGGTGTAATAGTTCTGTGGACTTTTGTCGTGTTCACAAATTTTCACTTCCGTTGGCGTTCACTCATTTTAGTGGCCGCTTATGTTAAGCTTCTTCGTCAAGAATAACTCAGGGTAGTGCTCTCTCTCTACAAAGGCGACGCTTTGGACTGGGGACCACATTTTGACACCTGATGGAAGTGGCGGAAACCTTCGTGTTTGTCGGGTTTTCTTCAAATCTGAAAGTGTTTCCCTGGTTTTCAGCAGCTCTCCACAGTTTTGGGTCATCAGCGTCAGAGCATCTTGGAGTGCTTTAGTTTTCTGAGACGTCATCTGCTAAAGCTATTATTAACATTGCACCAGGAGCAGCTTCTTATGATATACCTACCGATTAATTCCTCCTCGTCTAACTTAGAAACAAATCCCCCTACTCTACAGGTGGACTGAAAATACTGGACAGTTGTGGTTTGCATTTTCTTATTTTAGAAGGCGCCTTGAGGATGTCATCATGTGATGGAATCGAAAGCGCTTGCTAGTTTTAAGTATGAGAATTGGACTCAAATATTCTGACCTCAGCAGCCCCTCTTATTGATCCAGCCCGTTAGAAGTTAGAAGGCCAGGGCTGGTCCTTTCTAATATCATATTCTTCATAATTCAGACTGCTGTTTTGTCAAGAAGTTCTTTAATGCGATTTTCCAGTAGGCTCATTTTCACTGTCGCTATGGCTGATAGTGTCGTGGCTGGTGTGTAGCACTTCGGATTCTGTCGAACGTCATCCAAAAAAATTACAGAACATATCTTTATCAACAGGCTTCGTTTATCCCTCAATAGCTGAAATAGATTATTTAGTGAGATACATACAGAATCAGTATGATGTTTGAGAATTGGCGGCATGGTCTCGTTGCACTCAGGAGATTTCGTAATACAAAGCTCTTGAAGCGCATCTAGAATTATTCTTTTGTGTACATTGAGTGGGGCTGTCTCTGCTTCATCAAACTGCGCATTATGCTGCCATTTTAACCACATAAAGTTTTCATCCCTAACGCTCGGGTGTCTGTCACGTGCTTCGGTAGATGGATGCCGTGTACCCCATTTATCCCTTCGTGCTATCTTATATTTCGCATGTTGTTTTACTCCATACACCTTCGAAATTTTTCGCTGTGGTGCAGAACTCTACTGACCACCCAGAAACACGTTGGGGGATAGTTAGGAATGAGAAATGATAGGGGGAGTTCTGGGTCAATTACATTGAGGGCTGTTGTACTCACCTAGGTGATTTACGTTGCTTACAGCCTGAGAAGCCGCCATTGTCTTTAGAGAACAAGTTACTCCCCCTAGTGCCATACGATTTCGGCTAAAGACCTACGAGTTAAAATGAAAGCTCAATTATCTTTCTCAATTATCATAAAACTTAAAGCCCAAGAACTTACGTAAATTGTGAACAGCAGTGGAATAATAAGACTTGTAAAGTTTTTGTCTGTCCATGAGTCTTACAATAACTGCCGAATTTCCCGGTTGCGTTCAAGCGTCACATATGTCACTCTGTGGGATGCGGCAGTTGCTTTAGCACTAAATGGGGCTATTCGGAAACAGAGTACTACAAATTTTGTCGAGCAAAATGATTCTGTACAAGGGAACTCCAGTTGTTCAGTCGATTGAAGTGTCCCAAGATGTACCCCAGAAACGGTAGGAGCATACGTACAATGCGGTATTTCTGAGTGATTATGGTACAGAGTCCCTCGCATTGCCATCACGTGAATAACATGCAATATCTCGCGCATAGTTCTACGACCAGTTTGAGTAGTTTAGGTAATTTTCCAAGTGTTTAAAATTATTGCTAGCAGCGCAAATCCATCCGCATTTCCAAGCGTCAAATTTCAGAATGAGTTTAAAAGATCCTTAGACAACATCCCCTAGTTTAGAAAGACCATTAGTTATCAGGTAATTATATTCATGACTTCAGTTGAAGTAAACAGATTATAAATCTTCTGCATACAGGAATGCTTTACATTTATTACAAATATTAATACAGATCGTGAATATAGGTTGTCCAATGTGCCACCGCATATAACCCCTTCTCGATCCATCTACAGCTAGACTACAAGTTTGGTGCGTCGGTGGTACAGTGGTTAGGACGATTGCTAACCGTGTAAATGGTCTGGGGTTTGATTTCCGACTGACGCACACCTGATATCAACTATCGGCCTGCTAAATTTAGGTTACAGATATCCCAGGCAGAAAATTCCACACTTGTATCTTAGTACTGTGTAAAATCAAGCTATAACAATAAAATGAAAATTAATAATTATATGTATGAGGACGCATAGAAGTGTCTTCTTACCGGTCAGATCATAGGTGGATATTCCATGAGGGTGCTAATTGTCGAGGAGTACACCGCGTGGAACTACGTTAGCCTTTTTCAAAGTGTCGAAGTAGAGATTAGTGACATGTTCGTTTTCAGGTGAACTAATATTATTGTAACTGTTTCCTTGGGGTCCAGGTGGAACGTAAGGCTTCAAAAGAGCATCTGCATTTTGTCGGGTTCCTTGCAGTCCTCTTTAGCTGTGTCCATGGTAGCCTATAGGCTCTCATCTCCTAACACTATTTCTTCTACTTAATCTATGGATGCCCAACTTTTCATCTATTCGTGTTCCACTACAGCTATGACCTGTCCTA